CAAATACACTTTAGAACCAAACAATGATCATTTACCGAACAAGCATAGAGTACAAAATAGCACGGACATATAGTGACTTACCCCACATAATTAATGACATGTTTCGCATAAAATTATGTGGGGTAAGTCACGTGACTTACCCCACATAAATGACACATGCTGCATGTAGCATAAAACCATTCGGTAAATCACGTGACCAGTGACATAGAAATTTCAAAATGGATGAAACAAGCGAGGAAAAAGAGTTTGAATACGATTCATATTCACAATTCAGAGAGGAAATTGAGAAGTTATTAGATCATTACAACGGGTATAAGGCTACATAAGCGATCCTTTCTTAATAGAAGATACGTTTTCGCGATTGGAGAATCACACCAGAGCTCTTTGAATATATAGATGGCGCAAGTCACATGGTCGAAGTCACGTGACTTACCCCACATCAAAACAGTGAACAATGGTTTATATAAAATCATTCGGTAAGTCACGTGACTTACCCCACAAATGAATATGTTTAGCACAAATGAATATATTTACCCAATACGATATAGTGTATTTATTGCATCAATATTCGTAACATTAATATCTTCGGTTTTTACCCCACGGAGTAAGTTAAACCGAACATAAACAAAACCAGTTACAACAAATGGTACCTACTATCCCACATATAATTGACTGTCTTACACAACAAATATGTAAGATGCTTCAAAACAGTATTCGACACGATCTAATATAAATTTGATAAGTATTTTATATATGCGATGCCAAGTACCATTCGTATTGGGTAAAAATATTCATTTGTGGTAAACATATTTATTTGTGGGGTGACTTACCGAATGATTTTATATAAACCAATGTTCACTGTTTTGATGTGGGGTAAGTCACGTGACTTGCGCCATCTATATATTCCAAGAGCTCTGGTGTGATTCTCCAATCGCGAACACGTATCTTGTATTAAGAAAGGATCGCTTAATTGTAGCCTCATGCTGCAATGTTCTAATAACTTCTCAATTTCCCCTCTGAATTGTGAATATGAATCTTGTTCAAATTCTTATTCCTCGCTTGTTTCATCCATTTTTAAATAATTTCTACGTCACTGGTCACGTGATTTACCGAATGCTTTTATACTGCATGCAGCATGTGTCATTTATGTGGGGTAAGTCACGTGACTTACCCCACATGATTTTATGCGAAAGTACATGTCATTAATTATGTGGGGTGAGTCATTATATGTCCGTGCTATCTTGTAGCCTATGATTGTTCGGTAAATGGACATTGTTTGGTTCTAAAGTGTATTTGTATTTGATGCGTGTTCTAAATTTATGCGTCAACCGTCTTTGTTCGTGTGTGTACATGGACTTAAATATGTGACATTTTACCAAACACTGAATAACATAAACCGCATATACAAGTGCATTTACCGCATATATAGGTACATAAATCAAATATAAATGTGTAAAAACAAACAAATTTATTATGTGTTTCGAATTATTTTAATAAAGTGGAATATCGAATGGTTGTAATCAAATACAAAAGTGTGAAAATGGAATAAAGCTACAGAAAAAATTCCATAATACGAATGGTACTTGGCATCGCACATATTTAAAATACTTATCAAATTTATATTTGATCGGGTCGAATACACTTTTGAAGCATCTTACATATTTGTTGTGTAAGACAGTCAATTATATGTGGGATAGTAGGTACCATTTGTTGTAACTGGTTTTGTTTATGTTCGGTTTAACTTACTCCGTGGGGTAAAAACCGAAGATATTAATGTTACGAATATTGATGCAATAAATACACTATAAATTCATACATGGAATAATTTTTTTTGCCATATTGGAATCAAGTATTTTCGTTAATCCATTGGATAGATCATGCATTACCTGATGTTGATAATAGAATCAGTTAGTCAATTGTAAGACACCATTTATCCGAGAAAATCTTAGTTATGTACAGGGTGACCCCAAAAAAATGCAACCCTCCATTTCTTCAATATTTTTCTTAAATGGAGGTGAATTGCTCTGAAATTTGGCACACATGGACTTCATTCAATATGGGATCCTCTGACAAAGTTTCAATAATCAGAGTCTTATATTGATAGAGTTATGGTCGTTCCAAAATATGCTCCAAATGTCGTCCATTTCCAATGTTAGGTTTTCGGAAGAATCACATTCCCTTCTTTCTGAACATGTAAACTCAAGAAATAATGTGTTCTGGGATCACAAATTCAAGATGAAGTGCTTCAAAGGCCCCTTCATTCTGTTAAATGCACAGCTTGGGCTGCCAATTTCCAAACATGAAATCATCAGCCCCTTTTGGTTTGAGGTTGATAATGGCAACACTGTAACTGTTAACACACAGCGCAATATTGGCATTCCCAGGAAGTTCTAGGCAGTTCTAGAATGACATACAGGCTTCAATAGACAAGAACAGTGATTCTAGAAGGATGGGGCTACTCCTCACACTTCTTATGATAGCATAGCCTGGCTCACTAGTCATTTCTATGATGAGATTATCTCTCCTAGGATGGAGAACCCATGGTCATCCCACAGTCTTGATCTCAATGCCCCTGACTTCTATATATGGGGTTATTTAAAGGATAATGTGTATGAAAATAACCCTACTGCAATTGCAGAACTCCAACAAGCATTCCTGCAAAAATTTGAGCCATACTCATGGGGAAGAATGCATCCGTGTTATGAACAGTTTACCTTGAACATTGCAAGTTTGTTTTCAGCGAAATTGACGATATATGGAGCATATTTTGAAACAACCATAACTCGATCAATATGAGACTATCGTTATTAGAACTTTGCCAGAGGATCCCACATTGAATGAAGTTCTTGTGTGCCAAATCTCAGAGCAATTTACCTCCATTTAAGAAAAATATTGAAGAAATGGAGGCTTGCATTTTTTTGGGTCACCCTGTATTAAGGCAGGGCATAACATTTCACATATCGTTTATTCATGTTTAGTACATCTATGGTTCCAATGTCATTTAAGCCTGATTTGGTGCAAATGTCAAAGCATAACATCAACTCTAAAGTAGTTTAATTCAATGAAAATTAAAAATATCAAAATCGACAATTACTGTCCGCCATCTTAGATGCGAAGGTTACGGCCGTTACCTTCACTTGGTACTGATCAGTGTCGGTCCATTACTTTTCAATTGCATAAAAATGCTCTAAACCTGACAAATGTATTAATCAATTTTAACTCATAGCTCTTGATCAATGAAACTATTTGTATTCTAGCTTCAAGTCAATGAATACGACTTTGACAAGCTAAAATGACTAAGGACCTCTAGGACTTAAAAGTTAATTTGACCATTAATGACCTATGATAGGGAAGGGTCATGATAACACTTATATAAAATATTTAAAGTATCTAATAATGATAATGAACATACTACAATGTTACACAATGTTAGTAGATGCTAATTAAATGTCAATTGTTGTTAGTGTAATAAGTATTTTTCATTTAATGCTGCAACAATTACACAAGTACCAAAAAGTGCCACGCCCACTTTTCCCTAAAAGCAGTTGTGTGTGACTACATTTGATAAATATTATTAATTTATGAGATCATTATATCAAGTTTTTAGTGCTTTAGTGTGAATGCATACATATTAATTCAACTTTTGACAAAGTTGCAGCCACAAAATGCAAACAGATTTGCAAATATTTCACTTTGATAACTTAAGGACACATTTGGGACGGGGTCAAATTGAGAAGATTGTGAGATATAAATACTGTTTCCATGGTAACCATATAAGTCAGAGATTGGAAATTTCTGGCACTGACTAACCATGGCATGCCCTACCCACTATAAAACGATGAATATCTGATATGCATTTGTATTATTTTTATTGGGTGGTATTAAAGTACCCCCAAGGTTTTGTTGGGGTAGGGGTATAAATTGGCCTGAGGGCCTTCTGCCACCCCTACATAAAGTCCAACTACCCAGAAAGTGTTTATTATAATCATACAAATTGTTTGAAATATGTTGGAATGTGTGACCTTCCATGAAAAGCGAGATCCATTTCTAGAGCACTTCTACAGAATAGTCCGCAGTCTATACTGATTATTAATATAAAATGTGCTGTTTAAAGATATTCACATAGTATGGCACAAAATGATCAATTGATACCCCATAATTCAACTACCAGCACGTGTATTGTAGACATAAATGAATGTGAAAGCTCCCCTTGCCAGAATGGAGGAAACTGTACTGATTTGGTAAACGGATATATATGTGCATGCGAACCAGGATTCACTGGAACTAATTGTGAAACGGGTAATCCCTAGCTCTTCTCAAAGGAAATTATGTTAATTCTAAAACTAAAAAATAATACGTGCCATCATTCTATTCAAGTATATCCACCTTAATAAATTACCTCTGGAGAATTTAATAACCATCCAAATGGCAAATAGCAGTATAGTTCATAAACCACTGGTCACATAATTCTTGATTATGTAATCACAAACTATATTTTTAGTACCAACAAGGAGGGTTGGCTCCCAGAGACGCAGCTCGATATTCGACCCCGGGGCTATTCGACATTGTCCTTGATTGATAAATCAACGTTTAAAATCTCATCAATATTTTTATTTTCTGACATTTATAAATAACTATAACGTAATAATCAGAGATATAAACGATTTAATGTAATATTTATCATTTTGATCACTTTTTGTGTGCTTTGAAGTTTTGGGTTTGGAAATAAGATCAGAATTTGCGATTCAAATGTTAAAGTTAAAAAAATGGTGGCAAAATTGATTTCGAATTTTGTAATCATGACATCCTTCGATCGGATTCATTATGTTTTTGAAAATATCAATATTGCATTCTGGGATCTAATTCTCCTTCTAGTGTCAATGAAATGTTGAACTAATGGTATTAAGATATATTCTTGTTTTAATCTGTTTTGGATATCTACTTATACAACAGTTGTTATATGTTCCCTATTGCCTTTAATCTTACATTTCAATATTTTAGGACCAACATGTATAGATGTGCCGAATATTGGTGAACAATGCTTCTGTAGTAAGCCAGGATTGAAGGGAGAGGCGTTCAATTGTACAGGCAAGATACATCTATGTTACAATTCATTGCGATCTGTATAAATACAAACCATGCTATTGTATCACCAGCGTATCTAGACGGGGGCGTGAGGGGCGCACGCCCCCCCCTAAAAAGTCGGAAAATTCGTCTTTTTCCTTTATCGCTTTTTACAAAATTTGACTCTTCGGTCACAGTTATTATCACACGCCCCCCCCCCCCCCCCCTAACACAAATTCCTCGATCCGCCCGTGTGTATATATGACGTCAAGTCGTTGGGCTGCGACTTGAATAGAAATTTTGTGCTTCAAGCTCAATATGTACGATTTCCAAGCGATTCTGGTCATGGTTTCAGAATCAAAATGATGTTTGGAGTATTGAGAATCAATTGAAGTCACAAAATAAGGTGAAATATACACCAACGTAATTAATATGACCAAATAATAACGGGAGTCGAAACCGAAAGTCAGAAGAGTAACCGCACTTTCAATCTAGATGTAAAAACGGAAATTAATTGAAAAATGTTGAAAAAATCATAAAATTTATGTTCTGGGCTATATTTATATGTATATATTTATGCATTCCCCTCTCTATTAGCTTCGTATTCACACTATATTTAATATAGATTTGGTAAACATCTTCATCAATAAAAATTAACTAATAAAGTAGTTCCAGTTTATCAGACTATATTCTTGGGATAAAGATGGTACATTTAGAAAGTACTTGCCATCAACTTCACATGCTTACCTCAAATGGTCACTATACATACACATACACTTACTATACACACCATTGGATTTGGCATGGCTTCGTTTTTAAAGTATTTAAAAATACGGAAGTGGTATTTTCTGTAGTGACACCTATAATAACTCAATTACAGTATGAATGATTGCGCTCACTCTGGAGCTACTCGCCTCTTCTTGATGCCGGTTATAAGTTACATTTCAATGTAGACCATCTCAGCTTTTACAAAAGCACGTCACTACTTATATGAGCGTAACCTTAACTTTTAAATTGACCCTAAACAATATTGTAAGTATTGTGCTACCTATTTCACTTTAGATATTGATGAGTGTGTGAATGTCTTACCTTATCCATGTGACCCGGTTGCCTCATGTACGAATACACCTGGCTCGTTCGAGTGTGGTACCTGTCCTAGTGGTTATACAGGTGACGGGTTGGAGTGCGAGGATATCAATGAATGTAATTCTACATCCGGACCGTGTTTAGTGCTTGCAGATTGCATTAACAATGATGGCTCTTTTGAGTGTGTATGTAAACCTGGCTATACAGGAGATGGTATCGTATCCTGTGATGATATCGATGAATGTGATGGATTCAACACATGTGATAACAATACAGTTTGTAATAACACAGTTGGATCCTATGAATGTGTTTGTGACGATGTTTGTCAAGTACTAGGTATGTTTCAGAATGAGTAAATTAAACAAGAATTCCATTATTTGACACCCTGCTCGGAGCATTTTGAGAGTATTTAGATGATAAAAGAAGTGCAATTACGAGGCCCGATCAGAAAGTAAGTAACCAACTGCTCTCATTTTTTCATACTTCATTCATTCAGATTGAAATTTTCATAGATGATGTAGAAAACATTAAACTATTAAACAAGACCAAGGACAATGGGTTAGCGTCAATGCCATTGTTATAGATGTTGCTATGGTGATGATTGTTTTGGGTAGGTGGGGCACCCTTTTGTAAGCAGCTTTGGAAGATGATTTGTAGAGTTATTTACATGTTGTATTCCTCCAAATGACCTAACAATTTTTTATACAAGACAAAATAATTTGTTTTATGTATTATCACAATGGTAACTACGCTCCATTTTCCCATTTATAAGTCATTGACACAAAGAAATCAAGGGTATATCTGTCACAATGATGGTCATGATTCGGTCGCAGTTTCAATCCAGTCAAATGTTGCTGAGGGGAATTTTACTGGCATGACGTCAATGGTCCACCTCCACAGAGCCAACATTACTGAAGATAGATACAGTAGATTAAGCCTTTTCCATGGTCACACAACTACCCCAGGCTCATTATTCCCCAGACCTGGCCCCATGTGACTAAATTCTTTCCAGATGCAAAGATGTTGCTACGGAGAGTCCGTTTGGACGGCAATGAAGCCATCATTTAAGCTTTCAATGGTAGTTCTGCAGTCATTGAATGGTGACATGTTGCACTTCTTTAAGGACAGGGTGAAACAATTGGTCTCAACTGCATTGACCTTGGTGGCGATTTAGTTTGAAGGAATATGAGTTAAAATGTAATCTTATTTGTGAATTTGATATATTTGGAGGTATTAAATCATGTAGAAAAACTCTTCAAATTATCTTCAAACTCGACTTAAAACAGGGTGCCCCACCTACCCAAAACAATTGTCACCATAGCAACAGCAATAACAATGGAATTGACGCTAACCCATTGTCCTTGGTCTTGTTTAATAGGTTAATATTTTCTACATCATCTGTGAAAATTTCAATGTGATTGAATAAAGTATGAAGAAATAAGAGCAGTTGGTTACTTACTTTCTGGTCGGGCCTCGTATGAGCAAATATCCCGATGGTCAGAATGAATAAATTTTAGGTGTAACATGAAGAATACAATGTCACACAATACTTCGGAAAATATTTTAGCGTTTGGATTGGACCCTTATGGGCTTAAGTTGAGGTCATAAGTTCAGCAAGGGTGTATTGACTAGGTACAGGGATATGCTCCATTGACTTGACATGAGGATATCATCATATGCCAATATAAACCATATTTTATTGATTATTACAAAAATATAAAAAATACACTATGACCCGAATCTATTAAATTAATTTAAATAATTTGACAAGAAGACATAAATGACATGTCTCATCAAATATGAAGTTTGCAATCGATCCAGGTCATACTTTAAATCAAAGATTATATGTTTTTCATAATTCTCTTCCTACAAAATGTCATACAACTTTGTAAATCCAAAGATCATCCTATTGTACAGACTTCATCATACCAATACATTTGGATTAGATGTAGGGATGCGTAGGATACGAATGGATAGACAAAAATGTTTAGCTGATTTAATACTACGCCTCTTAACTTCATGATTAAATATTTACCCTTATAACTAAATACAATACTGAATAAAGGTCAGCAAGATGCTAAGGTCCATATAAATCCAGAGACATCTGATAAATCTAATAACAAAAGCAGTATATAAGTTTTGAAAAATTAGATGAATTAATTTCTTCTCATGGGTAAATCATAATGGAGAGTGAACTAGACCTTTATTCCAATCGAATTGTACTTTTGCAAGTTACCTTGCTTTTTCTATTTTCTATTTATATATTCAAATATCATAAATAAGAAAACATTCTAATTTAGTTGCTTATAAAAACAATATGCACATTCTGTGTAATTTCACTGACATAACTTATTCGAGCGACTATTATCTAGTCCATATATTAGTTCCAATCCAAACATTTTATTTATCGAAGATTATACAAGAATGATAATTTATATATTTTACATGTACCACTCCATTTATTTCTTTTGGTGCAATGTATTCAGATAGCAAGTTACGAAAAGAAAATCCGACCCATCTCGTCCAAATTATTAACAAAATAAAGAAGCAGGTCCAATTTAATAAGTGTGTTATGGCATCATTACAGATGTTAATGAATGCGACAAAGGACTCGATGAATGTGACATAAACGCTAATTGCAAAAATGAACCAGGCTGGTACACATGCAGTTGTGTAAACGGGTACTATGGGGATGGGTTTACATGTACGAACATTAACGAGTGCCTCCAAGAACCGTTTCCTTGTGACCCAAATGCCGACTGTACTGATACTATTGGTAGTTTTGATTGTACTTGTCAAGAAGGATATATACAACAAGGATCCATATGTGCAGGTCAGTGTACATATAAGAGTCAGTGTATACTGTATATGTTTCGAGATTTATTGAGGACAAGGCAAACATCAACAATACATGAACTAAAATTCAAGGAATAAAGTATCATTTCAAGAAGATGAACCATTCAAAATATTTACGATCGGTACAAACTTTTAAATATCTGATGCAGTAAACATTATATTGTGCATTATATAATGTCCGGTTTGCTTACTTCTTTCAAAGTCTGCTGACTGATCTGATAGAACAGCCTTTGCTCGCCCCCTATTAGCCGCTAGAGAATTGTGATAGTTGAAAATGCACTTTCTTTACTTCACATCCATTTGTAGACATAGATGAATGTATCCCATCATTGCTACCCTGTGATAGTAATGCCGAGTGTGCAAATACAATTGGAAGCTTCATATGTGAGTGTGATCATGGCTATAAAGGAAATGGCATCGTGTGTGATGACATCAATGAATGTTCCAACCCATCAGCTTTATTTGATTGTATACCAACAGCAGAGTGCCTTAATGGCACGGTAATATGCACAAATAATTCACAATGCGTGAACAATGTTGGTTCCTTTGAATGTCGATGTGATGCAGGTTTTATGTTGATCAATAATACATGTGTAGATGTTGATGAATGTGCTACCGGTGCTACGTGTGACATAGCTGGGGGAGCCACGTGTGTGAACACTATTGGATCTTATACATGCATATGCGCTGCGAATTGCACAGGTAGTTTTCAACGACTCTTCTCTATCTTTTTATTCATAAAAATCTAGAGTCCATTTTCTTGAAAAGTTAAATAAACATTGTGACAGGCATCCCTTATTTCATTATTGTACGTGGTATTATACTGTCAGTAACTTACAACAACTTATTGAATCATGTCCAAAAATCTACAAAAAAAGATTTATGAAATAATGAAATGCAATTGATTCAGTCTATTCACATTTGGGCTCATGCAGAAGAGATGTCGGATAAAAACATATTTTCTTGCATCAAATCATTAAATCGACCTTCTAGCAGGGTTAACAAATATCAGAAATTACTATTTTTAAACATTTGGTAAAAATACACACGGACGCATATATATTTTTCAGTTCCACGTCATCTGCTTGAAAAAACCTTTATAGTATCAAATGGATAAAACTGTATTCTGTTAAGAAAGATTTTCCTTGAGTTCGCAAATGCAATTTTCGGCTGTATGCTATCGAATTAACCTACTATTTTATGGGCAGCCCATCTAAACATAAATCGTACTTGCCACCTCTCCATTCAATTTTAAATGAATTTGTAATAATTTGTAGGTTAATTCGGCAGCCAACCAACGAAAGTTGCATTCGCGAATACGCTAAGAGACAAATTCGAATAACATGCCAAGTATCTCAAACTATTATCAAAGATTGAATGTATCAAGTTCACTGGCAAGTTCATGGCATTGCCATTACATGTTCTAGTACACGAACTGGTATTATTATTTGACATGTTAAGATTGTTACAATTATTAAATGATTGCAGATATTGATGAATGCAACAATACCTCCTCAATAAACACATCCTGTGATCCAAATGCAACATGTAATAATACAAATGGTGGATACACATGTACTTGCAATGAGGGTTTCACTGGGGATGGGTTGATCTGTGATAACGTTAATGAATGCCTACAAAACCTCGATGACTGCTTTGACAATCTGCTTATGATTGAAAATTGTGAAGACACGCTTGGATCCTTTGTCTGTGTGTGCAATGACGGTTTCATAGAAAATATAAATGGGACGTGTATAGGTAGAAATAATTTATTAATTATAAAAGAGTAATGTTACAAAACATGGAAATATTGGAATTTATAGAGGTCAATGGATTTCAAAAAGAAATACAATGGTCCATATGGTCTAAATCAGATGTTGACATTATTACCCGATTTGTTTCAGAGACGGTCGGTCAGCCTTCTTAACTTTCACATTCTTAAAACTATTACTTCTTAACAATGTTTCTCTTGCAAAATACATTAATCGATTGTTATTAGATGTGAATGAGTGTGAACAGAGTACTGCAAATGACTGTTCAGCTAACTGCTGCACAAACACGTTTGGGGGATATAAATGCTCATGTGACAGCGGCTTTATCGGTGATGGCATTGTATGTCAAGATATCAATGAGTGCGCTGCTGATCCCAACGACTGCACCGACCCTAATTCACAATGCATAAATGATGTTGGCTCGTTTCATTGTGAATGCATCATCGGCTATGAAGGAGTAAACGGTTTCAACTGCACCCCCATACCCGTATCGTGTAATCCAACAAATTTGTGTCAGCTGGATGCTAATTGTACTGTTGTGAATAATACAATTATTTGTCTCTGTGAAGCACCATGTTCAGGTTTGTTGTGCCATCTCTTTTCCAATAAACTATTTACAATAAACCTGCACTAGACGCATCATATTCCGGGTATTCCATGGATATTTAAGAATATGATTCATTCAATCAGAAAATATTGTATCGTATCATTAAATCATATCATTATATATTTATTTATTTAACGTAGATGTCGATGAGTGTGTGAACGCAACTTTAAATGACTGCGCTAGTACTGCAACATGCGAAAACACCAACGGTGGATATGAGTGTCAGTGTCAAGTTGGTTATACAGGGAGTGGGATAACGTGTACAGATCTAGATGAGTGTCTCCAGGGAGATGACAACTGTGCAGATGAAATAGGACAATGCACAAACATTCCTGGGTCTTTCCAATGTAATTGTCTGAATGGCTACATCGGCGACGGAGTTGTATGTGAAGGTACGAAAATATTATTTCATGACGAAAAGGATGAAAAGAAAATGATTGATTTATGTTTTATCAAAATCATATTTAACTCAGGTTAGGGATCATATAACAAATTGCTTCTCTTTTGGAAACCATGTACTTTTTCAAATTATTGCAATAAATATAATAACATATTGCCTTTGTGTTTTAGATATCAATGAGTGTGTACTCGTTGAGGATGTCTGTGATTCGAATGCAGCATGTAATAATCTAATTGGCTCATATGAATGCATATGTAATGATGGATTTATTGGTGATGGACAAAGCTGTGAAGACATCGATGAATGCTTGACCATATCATGTGGACAGAATGCTGCATGTATAAATGTCGATGGCTCGTTCGATTGCCAGTGTAATGTAGGTTTCACAGGGGATGGGTTCAATTGTACAGATATTGACGAATGCCAGGACGAGAATCTCAATACTTGTGATACTGCTAGTAATGCGACATGCACCAACACTGTTGGTTCTTATGAGTGTAATTGTAGCACTAACTGTATAGGTGATTTAAATACTTGTTTTTAGTGAACTATTTTTATATATTATAACGGCAATAGGTGATTTGCTAGAAAAGTTTTTGTTTCTTTACAAAAATTGTTATTTCGTCTAGACATAATGACAGTATAGTAACGATGTACAAAAAGTAATGTATTTAAAAAATCATATATTCTATCTAAAAAATATATATAGATGCTGATGAGTGCTCAGACAATACAGATGAATGCAGTGATCTTGCTGAATGTTCAAACACAGCTGGTGGTTATACTTGTGAATGTGAAATAGGCTTCCAGGGTGATGGATTTGACTGCTCTAACATTGATGAATGTTCAGAAGGGCTTGATGATTGTGACCCAATATCTGAGTACTGCGTGGATACATTCGGCTCATTTGAATGCTTTTGCAGTCCAGGTTTTGGACCAGATGCAATATGCGAAGGTATATGTAGTAATCATTTCTATTTTAATATCTACTACGCAAACATCAGGGTGTGACCTATGCCCATTGTACGTTAAAATAACTCAACCTTACCTTTATAGATATAAACGAATGTTTACAAGTGCCACCCATATGCGATGAGGAATGTCAGAATACAATCGGTTCATTTGATTGTCTCTGCCCACCTGGATATACAACTAATGGCTTCAACTGTGATGACATCAATGAATGTGACACCGATCCCTGTCAGGATAATGCTTTCTGCACAAACACAATTGGTTCATTTGTGTGTACATGTAATGTGGGTTTTGATGATGATGGTAATGGAACATGTGTTGATATTAACGAATGCAATGCAACAGTTTGTGTAGCTAATGCAACTTGCAACAATACAATTGGATCATATTTATGCGAATGCCCAACAGCATGTGACGGTAAGAATATACAAATAATTTGAAATGCTGAAATCATCTAGGTACTAATAATCTGCATTGTTTGATCACACTCACTTTTTAAAGTGAGTTAGTGAATACTCATATTGTTGCGTTTTTAATATCTATATTGGTACTTTTCTTTACCATGCTATTTAGTAAAACGCGTAATTTTACAATTGAAGTTACGCATCAAAAATCTAACGAAAAATGTATTTGACATCACATACTAGTTGGTAATGGCTGTTGTTTTCGGCAAACGAATGACTGGGTTGAAGCCAAATGTATATATTTAATGATGACATTGCAATAAGGGAAACGTGTAGTTAATATGTCTATTTTATAATCTTATATCATTTTGTGTTGTCTTTCATAAATGAGAGGCAACAATTTTAAAATATTTATTATTCACTAAAATGGATCGAATGTTTGTTTTGTTCTGAGGAACAATAAAGTAGGCAATGAATATGTATTATACGTAGTAATTAAATGATTTAATCCATGGTAATCAAGCGATTCATGGTCCGCTGCGATGACTCCAAAGAAATCTTTTGGGGGTATTTAAATCGAGTGAATTTTCCCGAGGCTATGTAATAATAGCATTTTTGATTAATCCATGAAATAAATCATATGAATAAGAAACGACTAAATCGAAAATTCATTCTGTATTATCACATAAATTAGACAGAATATTAACAGCAAACATTCATTGGCATAACTTGTTATCAAAAACATTTCCTATGTTGTTCCAAAATCACTATTAGTAATGCGAGATAAATAAAGCCTACAAGAGTGAAGTGTTGAAGCACTATACTATTTTTGGTTCATTTGAATTTCCAAATATAAACTGTAATTTTCATAGCACCCGTGTGGTGCTATACTGGAGAGGTTAAGCTACCGTATAAAATCCAAAACGCAACTTAAACGTATCAATCGGTCCTATACAAATACATGTAGAGTTCACACATAAATAGCCGTTCAGCTCTAGTGTTTGTTTAGACTACACCATAGCTTGTAATGATTACATAGTATCCCATTGATGAAGTTCAATAGCTGGTTCTCTAATACATATTTTAAACGAGCTCGTTTCGTAAGATTATTGGAGTTAAATCATGCGTAACATACATCATCTTCTTCAGAAAGAATTATACTCTGCATCGAAACCAAAATTGCAAGGATAGTATTCAACAGACATGAGTATAATGATTCCCGTTGATAGCAACGTGAAATTTCTAAATCTCCCGTTCTAAACACGCAACTTTGAAGTTGAACGGGTATCTGAAGTAGACTAAAGCGATACAATCCTATGTTGATTCAATGTACTTTGCGTTTACGTATACGTTTTGAAAAACCGTATTTGCTTAACCTCTCCATTGTTTTACAATTACGTATACTCATGTATAGTAAATGTAATTAGTTTATGTGATACTAACATTCTTTTCAATTTCAGGAATTGATGAATGTGTTACGGAATCAGATAACTGTGACATTAATGCAGTGTGTACTGATATAGAATTCGGAACATTTACATGTGAGTGCAATGCAGGGTACACAGGTGACGGTGTAACATGTGATGATATTGACGAGTGTTTGCAAGGTACAGACAACTGTGACATTAATGCTGCATGTGAAAACAATATAGGAAGTTTCACATGTGTATGTAATGAGGGATATGTCAATTCTGCCGGCGTATGCATAGGTAAGCTAAATTATCCACGCTGGGGTTTGAAATAAAACAAAGATTTTGGCGTACACTTTAATTGCAAAACATAATTTCTAAATTATAATTTCACCTTAACCACTAGTCCCCACATGGTTATAAAGTCTTTATAACAAAATAGATGAACTTCTTAAAAGTTTAATTTTCATCATTTTCACCAACAAAGAGATTCATTTGTATCCAAATATTTTACCAGTATGTTAATAGTAATTAAACTTTGTATGTTTTATTGACATATATCAAATTTAAATATCTTTGTGCCATTTGAGATCTTTGAATTAAGTTGTAAATTAATGCATACAAATTTTATACTTCCAGACGTCAACGAGTGTTTAGACAATAACCTGAATAACTGTGATCCTATTTATGGTTTATGTACAAATAATCAAGGATCATTTGAGTGTTCTTGCGCTGCTGGATTTGGCTTGATTGGAGATGGTGTTACATGTGGTGATTTAAATGAATGTATTGAAGGCTTCCCATTTTGTGACACCAATGCACAATGTGAAAATCTGTTTGGTTCATTTCAATGTTTATGCAACCAAGGCTACACCGGGAATGGATTTGTGTGTGATGATATAAACGAATGCAACGAGACTGCATTGAACAACTGTGATGTGAATGTCACATGTTTAAACACTATAGGATCTTATACATGCAATTGTAGTGCTCCGACCTGTGTAGGTAAGGACACGCAACATGAGTGATCATCTCAGTAGCTAGTTCATGTCGATGTACTGTACTTTGTAAGAAGCATTTTACCTAAAATATGAAATAATTAATTGTATTAAACTCATTACTTACAAGTGCCATTCAATGTTTAGATATTGATGAGTGTGTTATTGAATCTGATAATTGTGGTGATCCACCCGGAGCAGACTGCACAAACACAAATGGGGGTTACACCTGTGATTGTCTCCCTGGATACACTGGAGATGGCATCACGTGTACAGATATTGACGAATGTTTTCAAGGAACAGATTCGTGTCCCCCATTCTCTGGCTGTTTCAATACTATCGGATCATTTAGTTGTGTGTGTGATACTGGATTTCTACCAGTAGCAAATTTGTGTGAAGGTAATTCCATTAATTGTTTGTGAAAGAATTAGCGTATACACCAGCGTACATTTGGAAATGTGTCATTTAATTGTGTATAACTAAACAGTGAAATTGCTTCCGCTTCAGATATCAATGAATGTAGCGTCATAACTCCAACACTAACATGCGGGGAGCTAGGTGTGTGTACAAATACAATCGGTTCATTCACCTGTGGATGCTCGGGAGGGTATCAGCTTGTTGATGACCAATGCGTTGATATCAATGAGTGTACAACTGAATCTGATAACTGTGATACCTCTGCAAATTGTTTTAATTCCATTGGAAGCTTCACATGCACATGTGACCAGGGATATGCAATCATACCGCCTGCATCAAACTGTACAGATGTCGACGAGTGTGCCTCAAATGAAACAAACACATGTGATAGTATTGCTGGCTATACGTGTAATAATCTAATTGGGTCGTATAATTGTAGCTGTGCATCTTTGTGTACAGGTAAAAAATTTGGCTCTTATTATCACTTGTTATCAAATGAATGATAATTATTAAAGCTAATTTTACAAAAATAGTCGCATGTTGCTGAAAATGCAAAATAAAATACTCAGATAAATGAGAGAAAAACAACGTAATTAGTTATATATAATGATATTACTGTGACAACAATGATATATGCAAAATATCCTTGAAATTCGACAATGCTTTTTAGATGTTAATGAATGTGAGAACGAAAATGACTGTAGCTTAAATGCAGACTGTACTAACTTTGACGGTGGTTACTACTGCACATGCAAACCTGGATTCACAGGAAATGGACTTGACTGTACTAACATCAACGAGTGCTTGCAAAATCCCAACATATGTCCTGTAAATTATACCTGTGAAGATGCACCTGTTGGATATGAGTGTATCACCGATGATGACCTAATTGCTATTCCAAACTTTTTAGGTTTGCATATGCAACAGGGTGTCCCAGAACTCATGAGAATTTTCGAGGGAGATATAAGGCATGGGTGTTTTTTCTTCAAATTTGGTACACTTATTAAACACACTTTGAAGAATAACTGACATGAATTTCAGGCACAACTTTGTGGTTTGTGGCGATGTAGAATTCAAATGTCAATTAATTCGGAAATATAAAAGATATGTGCCTGAAATTCATGTCAGTTATTCCTCAATGTTTATTTATAATTCATTCCTGCCTTATATCTCCCTCAAAAAATTCTCATGAGTTCTGGGACACCCTGTAAATTAAAAAAAACGGTATGTATACACTGTTCAGTGGTTAAATGACATATCTTCATATGTGTTAAACATTTATTGGTCATGATATTACAGAATTATGCATGACACAAGAATCGTTTACATCAATAATTTATTTATTTTATAGAGAACATCGGATTTTCACAGATAGTTAACATTGAACAATGTAAGATAAATACACTAATATGTGACCCTGCTGCTAACTGTATCACTGATCAGTTTGGGTTTGACTATTGTGAATGCAAACCAGGGTACACAGGAGACGGTCTCACATGTGATGATATTAATGAATGTAAACCAGATGAGTTGAATCCATGTAGTGACGATGCTACATGTATTAACACATTCGGTTCATATTTATGTGAGTGCAATGTTGGTCACACTGGCGATGGAATAACATGTACATCTACAAATGAATGTACAATGTCAGGAATATGTGTGACAAATGCCTCGTGTATCGACACAGTCGGATCATACGCCTGTTTGTGTCTGCCTCCAAACGTTTGTACAAGTAAATAAAATACTTCTGAAATAATTTAATTAGATATGTTGCATTGCAATAATAATGTACATAGTTAGGACAATTGAATTATGAACAAGGATTAAATATAATGGTTTCTGATATTTTATTCGAAAGCCTGATATTATAAAATTAAATTAAAACTTAATCATGTCCCTTTGTCCATCTATCCTGTCATATATATATCTTTTCTAGACGTTGATGAATGCGGCGATGAGCTTGACAATTGTGACGTTCAAGCTACATGTAGTGATATAGAATTTGGATCATTCGTGTGCACATGTAACCCCGGCTATGTCGGAAACGGTGTAACATGTGAGAATACAAATGAGTGTCTTCAGGGAATATTCGAGTGTCCACTTTACTCCACATGTGTGGACAATGTTGGTTCATATGTGTGTAACTGCGACACAGGGTTCGTTGAGATTGCAAACCAATGTACAGGTAGGTATTGCTAGAACAGTGACCTTTGACTTATCAAACCTAAAACAGGGAGATTCAGCAACGACATTGTAGTGTCGGGTTAGATTTTATACGTACTGTACTTTGTAAACTTGAGGTTTCATTTCAAATTAGATATATCTGTGCATGATCTTGCATGGATATCTCCTGTGTTAAATAAAGTTGCTGTACTGTTATTTTGAAGATATTGATGAATGTTCGGATAATAACCTAAATAATTGCGATGTCGATGCTACCTGCGTGAACCAGGTTGGTTCGTACCTTTGCTATTGTAACCAGGGATATCTCGGAGATGGTAATATATGTTCTGCCATCAACCAGTGCACTGATGTAGTCTCACCATTAACGTGTGACGCCAATGCTGTGTGCATACATGAATTTGGCGGATCGGTCTGCCAGTGTAATGAAGGATACACGGGAGATGGGATTATGTGTATAGATATTGATGAATGCGCTGGAGCCAATACTTGCGTGGCTCCTGGGGCTGTATGTGTAAACTCTCCACCTGGAGTATATTCTTGTACCTGTACATCACCCGCATGCATAGGTATGTTATTCTTTCCACATTTTAAAAAAATCAATACATTAATGCTGTATAATTTATTTAAAAAAATATTACCTCGCATAAATTGTTCATTTCTATTGTCAACAAAGATCTCCTTTGTTAGCCCAATATATGATCAATGCAATGTAATTCATGATGTGTAATGTAGTCCATAGAGAACTTGCTGTTTTCTAGATGGTAACGAATGCAACTCAAACACCTGTGATGAACTTGCAACATGCATTGAGCTCGATGGTGGATATCGTTGTCAGTGTCTTCCTGGTTACACTGGTGATGGAATTACATGTAGTAACATTGACGAATGTTTACTGGGCTTGGACAGTTGTTCCACCTCTGAGGAATCACAGGAGGAATGTACTGACACAAACGGTTTATTTGTATGTACCTGCTCAACTAATGGCAAGGGTGAACTATGTGGAGGTAATTGTTAGGTGTTACAAGAAAATAATATAGCATGGATTTTTGATTTGTATATGTAATTTCAAGTCTTTGGACGCAATATTATACAGCAATTACGATTATGTTTATTTAATATGTACAATTCAACGAATAAGAATTGCATATTAATCTAATCAAAGAAAAGGTTTCTTTAACGTGCAAAAAATGATATGTTTATTCAAGCATTTTGATAAAATGGAAATTAAGCTGTATTAATTCCTTACTATAGATATCAATGAATGTATTACAATCCCCAACGTGTGTACTACAAATGCTGTTTGCACAAACCTGTATCATTCATCCCGATGTGACTGCGAAACTGGATTCATTCAAATGGGTGAAGATTGCATTGACATTAATGAATGCCAACTCGACATTGATGACTGTGATACGAATGCTTTGTGTATTAATACACTTGGCTCATACATATGTGGATGCAACCAAGGTTATACTGGTGCCGGAACAGTGGGGACTTGTACAGATCTTGACGAGTGTGCCTCTTCTGAGTATAACACATGCGCTGTCCAGATTGGAGCTGAATGTTCGAATTCTATCGGTGGATATGATTGCATTTGCACTAGTGGTTGTATCTGTAAGTTTTGATACTCTGTACTTTCCAATTGGTTGATTTTGCTTTATGTCTCTGTTTACTTCATCTTCAATCTTTTAGATGATCCTTTGATCCACACTAACAAATAAAAATGCCTATATTACGGTCGATAATATTCTAGCTACCAACTCAAAATACATTCACCGATTCAAGACCTTGACATTCACTTTTGTGATTATGAAAATCTTACCCGCATCAAAACTGTAACTCAGTGTAGATACTTCGCCCCTGTAAAATATAAATGAACATAGATTAACCAAAACACTCGAATTACCTAAAGCATGAATAGCAGAAAATCTGTTTTAATAATGCTTTTTTACTTCTCAACAAGCAAAACAATCACGTTACTATCTTTTACTACATTACACACAATTATTCGTAATTGGTAACTCCAGATATAGACGAGTGTTCACTTATGATTGATGAGTGTGACGTTAATGCCGATTGCACAGACACATTAGCGGGCTACACATGTACGTGCAAACCCGGCTTTTATGGGGATGGATTCAACTGCAATAGCTTTAACGAATGTATTGAGGGGACCGACGAATGTGATCAAAATGCCGTGTGTTATGACAGGCAGGAAGGCTATGACTGTATTTTCAATGATGGATTCATACCCGTTGATGGAATAGGTCAGTCGTTACCAACGTCATTTGTTTTAGCTTTAAATGTTTACCTCAATAAATAATACAGAGCAGGTTGTTCTCGTTGCTTTTGTGTAACATAGGAGTGTATTAAGCAAAAGTGATATATTCATGGTATTTAAAGACACTCATCCTGTAATTATTTAAACAGGGTCGTTGAAGAGCTAGGCTTTGTCTTTTTGTATCCATGTTACACGCACAAAATTGGAAAATAGATGGTGGTTTAGACTTTGATATAGTTACAGGCTAGCTGCACTGGTGGATTTAGGGGCCCAAATTTTCTTTTCTCGCGGAATTCTTTTTCTCTCACCAGAAGTTTGGGCCCCCTCCCCTTGTTGGTTCCCAGATCCGCCCCTGAGCTGGAATAAATATTACTGGCCTTACAATATTAACAATGCAAAATGTATTTCAGTTGCAAGTGGCCCAGTCGAAGGTGAGGATATTGAGGAATGTCTTACACAAGCGGATGATTGTCCCATCAATACAGTATGCACTAACACAATTGGGTCATTCACATGTGACGCAATCGGCGCACGGAGACGCCGACGCTCAATTGAAATACCATGTAATCCTATGACAGGTAACCCTTGCGATGGTAACGCAGATTGCATCAACCCTGTGGGAAGTTACTTATGTGTTTGCAGTAAAGGATATGAAGGAGATGGTGCTGTTTGTAGTGATGTGAATGAATGTGACATACCTGGTATATGCACTACAAATGCCGTATGTGCTAACACAGTGGGGTCATACACATGCACCTGCCCAACAACGTGTCCAGGTTAGTTGTGATATATGCATCGTCCATTAATATAAATCAACCCTGAAGTCAAACAAGAAAAAAGCATATACTAAATAAAAATATTCTAATGCGTTACATTAAAGCAGATTTATTACTGATATCAATATGTCTAGGTTTCATGAGATGAAATTCTTACAAAAAAGATACGTTTATATAACCAAAGCATCATTCCCGGTGATCAGAAGGGCAATTGTCATATTTTGTGGTGGCCATGTTCAGCATATACGAGTACTATGTATTCTAGATCCAAATGAATGTGGTGTCTCCGATGACTGTGATACAAAAGCAACGTGTACCAACATCCCATTCAGTGGCTTCCAGTGCACATGTAACACTGGCTACTTTGGAGATGGAACTGTGTGTTACAATATTGATGAGTGTGCGAGTGGAAATTATATGTGTCCTATGAATACTGACTGTGTTGATTCAGTTGGATCGTATGTTTGTGAGTGTTCAGAGGGATACGCAGACAACATGGGAGTGTGCGAAGGTAATAGTTCTATCTACCACTTTGTGTGTTGTCCTTGTGTCATATTATGCATTCTTAATAACCACGAATCGTCAAATGAATATTACTACACAAACTCTCACTTTCTTGTCTAAAAACCAAGTTGAATTGTTCAAAGATTAAATGTAATAAAATACGTTCATACTCATCCTGGCCAAATATTTACTCTTCCTACTTTCAAACTGAAACAAATTTTAAGATGAGTGTCGCGGAACCAGTTTATTCTCTTTATGTGTAGTTAAAATGGTGTTTTTGGTACATTCTAATTTTAATCTACTTCTCATCACTTTAGCTCTATCAATTGCACTCTTCTAATATAGTTTTTGTACCTTCCTTTAGCTTTTGAGACATTGCTATGTCACACAATAGAAAATTCCATAAACATTTATCTAGTATTTTAACTGTACTTAAATACTCATTTCTAACTATTTTAATGACACATAAAATAAAAAAAACTGCTCTGGGCCCCACCATCCTAAATAATTCTCTGTAACGTAAATATATTGCCTTTTGTGACCACTTGGAATTTTATACATTAACAATAACGAAAATGAAAATTATGTCATTGCAGATGTAAATGAGTGTGCAGAAACGAGCTTGAATGAGTGCAATTTAAATGCAATATGTACTAATCGGATTGGTACTTATGAATGCAACTGTAAGGAGGGTTATTTTGGAGATGGATATGCGTGCGTTGACTTCAACGAATGCACACAGGCTGTACACCCCTGCGTGGCAACATACGGCGAATGTGTGAATACTATAGGAACATACTTCTGCCAGTGTACAAGTGGTTTTACTGGGAATGGAATTGATAGTTGCATGGATGTTGATGAGTGTGCTGAAAACATTGCCAATTGTGATACAGTTAATTCCACGTGTGTGAATACTATTGGAAGTTATGACTGTAACTGTACAGTGTCAGCTTTTTGCACAAGTAAGTATCAAGAAGAAAAATTAAAAGGTGGGCGAGACATTTACTTTTAAAGGTCCCATAGAACGTTTTAACAGCATGGGATTATGCTGTAGTCTTCTGGTGTTATCAAAACAAGATACATAGCTTAACATGATAACATGATTTTGGAATTGCTATGTGAAATCTAATAAATACATGTGAGTTTAAAAATGAAGCTTTAAATGCTTGAAAGAATGTAAAATTCACCTGATACACTGTGAGAATGTAATGGTTTTCATCAAAATTATCAAAATGCACTGTGGTTGACTTATATTTATCCATCAGGTGTTGCTGAATGTGACGATGAATTGTTGAATGACTGTGATGATTACGCAACTTGTTCTGAATTAGACGGAGGTTATACGTGTAGTTGCCTTCCTGGTTACACTGGTGATGGCATCACATGCACAGATATTGACGAGTGTTTTCAGGGATCAGATACATGTCCTCTCTACTCAATGTGCGTCAATACACCAGGTTCATTCCAGTGTTTCTGCAATGAAGGATTTGCTGTTAATCCAGATTTTTATCCAGATGAGTTATGGTGTGAGGATGTTAACGAATGTCAGGTAGGATATATATTTATCTTAACACTGAACTCACAATTTTCCACTTGGCACCTTTTGAGGTGGATCCTGGCTATGGCATTAATGATTGGCGCTTGTGCTTTGATATTTAGATACAACACTCATGACTTGTTTTAAAGACGGTGGGTTTAATAAAATGGTTAAAGCTGTTTATTTCTCAATAAACTCTCAAAGTGGCGATTGCTTCCCTCATGTGTGATATATAATTGATCAACTGACAAGCAAATATATTAATAAAAGTCAAAATTCAAAAAGATGCTTAGAATAAAAATGAAAAATGACAGGTGAATATTTGATGAAGAGATTTTGAAGAAAAATTAAAAGGTTGTCGAGAATTGCTGGTATGTGAAGTTGAAAGATTGGACTTTTAATATGATAAAGAAATTCATTTTTCAATTGCAATTATTATTACTGAGGAATTGGAAATATTAGATGACATGCTTTAAATGATCTCCGTCATGATCGATTGAAGGCAATTTTCAACAGGGTAATTGAATGATGGTACTAAAACAAGATTTCCTCTAAAACTAAACAAAATTATCTGCCGAAAATGTCAGATATTTGCGATAATAAAGTTGACTGCCTGATGGCCAAAACAGCGAAAAAAGTGAACCAAGCCACTGAATCCTTTAGGCTGGATTCATACGCGCATTTGAATCCTGTATGAATTCTACTTCCATGATTCATACAGGATTTGCTGTTTAAATCGTTTATACATGAATCCTGAATTCAGGAATCATACATGATACATCTGGAAGGTGGTTTTCAAATGAATCATGTGTCCAGGATTCGAGCAGGATTCATATGTAAGATAGTTTATATAGGAATAGAATCCAGCCTTCAATCAGGATTCGTGCAGGATTCATATAGAAGGTATTTTACAAATGAATCCCGTAGCCAATATTCAAGCAGGATTCATATGTTAGATATTTTACAAATGGATCCAGCTTTCGGGATACGTCAAGGATCCATATAAAAGGTAGTTTACAAATGAATCCTGTAGCCTGGATTCAAGCAGGATTTATATGTAAGATACCTGTAGGTTATAAATGAATCGAGCCTTTGTGATTCGTGCAGGATTTATATTGAAGGTAGTTTACAAATGAATCCTGTAGTGGGATTCAAACAGGTTTCATATGTAAGATAGTTTACAAATGAATCCTGTAGCCAAGATTCGAGCAGGATTTATATGTAAGATAGTTTACAAATAAAAGCCTTCAGGATTCGTGCAGGATTCATATATTAGATATTTTACAAATGGATCCAGCTTTCAGGATACGTCAAGGATCCATATAAAAGGTAGTTTAAAAATGAATCCTGTAGTCAGGATTCAAGCAGGATTCATATGTTAGATATTTTACAAATGGATCTAGCTTTCAGGATACGCGAAGGATCCATTAAGAAGGTAGTTTACAAATGAATCCTGTAGCCTGGATTCAAGCAGGATTTATATGTATGAATCCAGTCTTCGTGATTTGTGCATGATTTATATTGAAGATATTTACAAATGGATCCTGTAGTGAGGATTCAAACAGGTTTCATATGTAAGATACTTGTAGTTTATAAATGAATCCAGCCTCTGTGATTCGTGCAGGAATTATTTTGAAGGTAGTTTACAAATGAATCCTGTACTAAGGATTCAAACCGGTTTCATATATAAGATAGTTTACAAATGAATCCTGTAGCCAAGATTCGAGCAGGATTTATATGTAAGATAGTTTACAAATAAAAGCCTTCAGGATTCGTGCAGGATTCATATATTAGATATTTTACAAATGGATCCAGCTTTCAGGATACGTCAAGGATCCATATAAAAGGTAGTTTAAAAATGAATCCTGTAGTCAGGATTCAAGCAGGATTCATATGTTAGATATTTTACAAATGGATCTAGCTTTCAGGATACGCGAAGGATCCATTAAGAAGGTAGTTTACAAATGAATCCTGTAGCCTGGATTCAAGCAGGATTTATATGTATGAATCCAGTCTTCGTGATTTGTGCATGATTTATATTGAAGATATTTACAAATGGATCCTGTAGTGAGGATTCAAACAGGTTTCATATGTAAGATACTTGTAGTTTATAAATGAATCCAGCCTCTGTGATTCGTGCAGGAATTATTTTGAAGGTAGTTTACAAATGAATCCTGTACTAAGGATTCAAACCGGTTTCATATATAAGATAGTTTACAAATGAATCCTGTAGCCAGGATTCGAGCAGGATTTATATGTAAGATAGTTTACAAATAGAATCCAGCCTTCAGGATTCGTGCAGGATTCATATATAAGGTAGTTCACAAGGTAGTGTCACATTTTCTTCAATTCAGTATAGAGTGAATAATGTTATATTACAGATTGAAAACCCTTGTGGCCCAAATGCTGTATGTACCAATCAGCTAGGCTTTGGCAGATGTGACTGTACTGTGGGCTGGATCAAGCAAGGGAATGACTGTATTGATCTTAACGAATGCAACTTGGGTTCAGTAGTATGTGATGCTGATGCAACATGTATGAACAGCCTAGGGACATATAACTGTTTATGCGATGCAGGGTTTGAAGGTGATGGTACAAACTGCACAGATGTTGATGAGTGTGCAGGTGTAAACACATGTGCAGGGGGTGCTGTGTGTGAAAATACGATAGGAAGTTATATCTGTAACTGTTCCGCAGGATGTGACCCAGGTAAGGCTGGATAACTGGGCGGTTGGGACTTTCATAAAGTTAAAAATTACAAGTACCACTTCGATGTCATTATATTTAGAAATTCTTACATTATTGACGTTCTGTTAACAAGAGTTGTGGATTATTTGTTGCCTGTAATATTCTACCATGTACATGTAGTATATGATACCCTTTACATTCAGATGTAGATGAGTGCAGTATAGGGACGGATATATGCAGTGAACAAGCAACATGCAGCAACATAGTTGGTGGCTACATGTGTGACTGCAACTCTGGATATAGTGGTGATGGGTTCACATGTAACAATATAGATGAATGTACAATGGTAACCTTATTTTGGGGGGTTCTAATATTTCAACTAACAATTAATCTAATATATTCTTAACTTAAGTTGTGTATTTATACACATATTAAATATTGACTTCATCACCCCATTAAACTGTGGCGTGCATTTATTCTGATATTCCTCTGGGAGCCCTTTCTCAGACCTACAATTAGTTGGCAGGTTAGTTTTTACATGTACTGTAGCAAGTCCAGATATGTGGTATATATTTAAGATATTATTTAAGGAGACAGACAATTGTGATGAAAATGCAGTTTGCTTTGATATAAGTGGTAGTTTTCAATGTGAGTGTATTGAAGGATTTGAGGGGAACGGACAGTCTTGTCAGGGTGAGTCCTGTATATAGCTAGTTTTGAAGTGATTGTAAAATACAACCGTGCTAAAATGCCGACATCCCATCGATCACACGCAAGATTCGCGAAATTTACTGTCTGACAACCATCGACAAGTGATATTTCACAAGGAGTAATATCTAATCTGAATAAATTTCAGATATTGATGAGTGTTCACTCTCTACGGATGACTGTTCTGAGATTTCGAACTGTTCCAACACAGTAGGAAGTTTTGAGTGTATATGCAATGTGGGATACATAGACATCGATGGGGTTTGCACAGACATCAATGAGTGTTCTTCAGTCCCATGTCATCCAGATGCGATTTGTATCAACCAAGAGGGGACATTTACATGCACGTGCAATGGAGGTTACGCGGGGGATGGTTTCACTTGTAATGATGTGAATGAGTGTATTACCGTGAACTGTTCAACCAATGCAACGTGTGTCAATACACCTGGTGCTTATTTGTGCAACTGTTCAGGAACGTGCGATGGTAAGTGATTCCAATCGTCAAACACAAAAAATGAAAATGCATACGTATTTTAAGACCTGTGCACACTGAAGCAAATGTAAATAAGCAAGGTTTAAGGTAAGTGATTCCAATCGTCAAACACAAAAAATGAAAATGCATACGTATTTTAAGACCTGTGCACACTGAAGCAAATGTAAATAAGCAAGGTTTAAGGCCAATATGTATTTGTTGAAGGGTCGTCCTTTTATAATTATTTGTAGACATTGACGAATGTTCAAACGCCAGTCTCAATGATTGCGACATCAACGCCAGTTGTAGCAACATAATATATGGAGGGTACACCTGCGAGTGCAACGTTGGCTACACAGGTGATGGGACAACATGTGTGGATGTTGATGAGTGCTTACAAAGTGAACCGTGTGAACAAGAAGAAAATACACAATGCGTGAATACGGTTGGATCTTTCTTGTGTATATGTGATGAAGGTTTCCAAGAAGACCAAGGCGTCTGTATTGGTAAGAGATTCAGAAGTATACCCTTTATGTATGGGGGTCGGATATAACCTTTTATCGGATGTTCACTCATTCTATGATTTCATTCGATAAATGCCCCACGTGGGTAAGATATCAACACAAGGCTTAAGTTACAAGGCTTTAAAATGTTCCTAGACATCCACGTCTTGTTCTTTGCATTGAATAGTAATTTTGAGGTGTAAATATCACATACATTGCCTACTTCGTCTGGTGCTATGCTTTAGATAGCGTTTTGCAGTGTTATTCATTCTTTCAGATATAAATGAATGCAATCAGGCTAATTCCTGTAGCTCATTTGCCACTTGTACTAATACACAGGGCTCGTATACATGCACTTGTAATATTGGCTTTACTGGTAATGGAGAAACATGTGAGGATTTCAATGAATGCATAAGTGGGAATCCAGATTGCCATCCCAATGCTAACTGTATCAACTCATTTGGAGAATATACATGCGAATGTCAAACGGGTTATGTTGGAGATGGAACCAATAATTGTGATGACATTGATGAATGTTTAGCAACAAATAATTGTGTCCCATTAGCAACGTGTATTAACACGGAGGGATCGTATGAATGTATATGTAATGGAACGTGCGTTCGTAAGTAATGGTATTTGGTACGAAATTGATCAGTATTAATAGCTGTAACCTATTTAATTGTTCATGATTTGTAAAGGAGTAGACCCAACATGGCAAGAGATTTTTGGACACGTGTATTTCCCGGCCATACAATGAACATTTTATATTAAAACAATATCTTGACTTCAAAAAAGTGCATGAAAAAAATAAATATCTCATTTTAATAATGAAATTAGCAATGGATTAGTAACCCACCTTCAATAATATTGACCTTATTACTGAAAAAGATGTAAATGTATGTATTTGTGGACACATAATGAATGCATGACAGTTTGCTAGGTCATGGGCAACCAATGCAATCCATTCTTTATGTGAGGGGATTTAATTCAATACCAGAGTATCCAATGAGGCATGAATATAATAACATTGACTGAAAAACTGATGTATAGTAATGTATCAGATGCTGGCACAGTTTTGCCGGAAGTTTGCAAGAAGTAACTTTTGGCAATGCAGTGTGTTAGAGTAACCTAGTAGCTGTAAGAAAATATAAGGTGATGGCCTTTAAAGTGGTAAAAACAATTTTCACGGCCGAATTGGACTTCAATTCCTGCGATTTCAGGGGGTACTATAAGACTATTTCATAACATAAAGGATATAGTTGCTATTGTTCTGCTTTCTACAGCACACATTACTAGTCCAAAGATGAATAATATCCTAAAGTTATAGGCCGATATCTGTATTAGTCTCAATTAATAGGAAAAAAATACGCAATTTTAGTCATTTTCAAGTCTCACGTATCTTATATTTGTAGCTTCCAGCAAAAGATGGCAGCTTAAATAGCTCAAAATTGTTTTCTAAAAACTAATTCAAGCTTTGTTTGATATTGTAATACAATTATAATAATGATAATGTACTATTTATGATTTTTAATATGACTTTATAGTACCCTACCCCTGGAAAGTGGGCGTGGTCAATGTTATCATTTTGCAGCATACAATTAAAAACTTATATTGATAGAAAGCAAATCAATGCATTTTTAACATTTTCACTTTTTACTTGACATTGTAATTCATTCATTACTAAAATATAGGACTCTACATATTTTATATATACGTTTTCAATTTTGTACAATGTATCATGATGAAGTCTAATAGGCTGGTTCATTTTCAGTGTTCACTAACGGATGAAATGTAAGTCACAGTGTTTCCAAATTATCTTTGCAATGAGAAAGTACCACAAAGACTACATAATATGAGCAGTTTCAAGGTCCTAATACTAATACTTACCGATCTATCGGCGTTCAAAAATAGAGAAAGCTGTCGTGAGTGCAGTTTTAACTAACTTTGAACTGAAACTGCTGCTTAATGAATATTTTTCTCAACATCTGTGACTTTTTTAGACCCCAAACATAAGATACCAAGACATAATGCTACCAAGTTCTGATATTGGAAGTTTCAGAGCTCTAGATCAAATATTCACTTCTGCATGTACTTTTAAAAAGAGGCAAAAGGACAAAAAAACTGTCAGATATCGTGAAAAATATGAAAGATGCACTATTCAGAACAATTTATCTCTTAAATGTTACTTTTATTTGACATAATTTCTGATTCTGCTTCCAGTTAGTACCACCAATAATACATATGAGAAGACTTAACGTCATAGTAAGTGGAAGTACAGATCTATTGGCTTCTGAAAATGGGAAAAGCAGTTTTTCATCTAAGACTGCAACTTTCTGAATTTTCTTTTTACAAACTGCACAGTAAGACCAAAGACATTAAAGGAAACCTGGTCATTGTACCACCAATAGTAGGTAAAAATAATATTGGTAATATATACCAAGTGTTTACTTTAATTCCAAGGCATCTGAATTGATAAATAAATGAAATCAGTACTTTATTGTATCTTGGGACAAAATACACTGTTTGAATGCTTAAGCTTGACATCACAGTATCAAGTGAACGTTGTTATTTACAGCTATATATCATTTTAACTGACTTTACTCTTCAATTTGAAATATGCCTGGCCATTCTAAGAAAAATGTGACGAGGGCAACGAGGGTGCATGGTATAATTGGTAATTAAGCTCTTCTAGAGTTTAAAGCTCCCACAATTTTTAAAAACGAAATGGAGAATAACATGTGAAAGTATAGGATGGACTAATTGTTCTAAGAAAGTTTTTGAAAGTAACATTGCATGAAATATTTAAGCAAGAGATATGTTCCAAAATGCTTTCAGGTAGAAATAAAGCTCCGTAATGTAAAAACAATGTATTCTCAGTATTCAATACAATAACATTCTTTATAGGTTTTTTGGTCTTAAGCATATCAGTGATTATCCCATGGTTGCAAGGATATAGATCGAATATCACATGAAGATATATTTGATATGTGGATCAAGTTATAATATTTTAGCAAAAAAATTCACAAACCATCGAATATCACTTTTAAACTATCGAATATCACGTCTTAAAAAGTGATATTCGGTGGTTTGAAAAGTGATATTCCATGGTTTCGATTTTTTTCCCCAAAAAATTTCTTTTTACATTTTTTAATTATTTTCAAAAATATTTTAAAAAAATTTCCACATTTTTTCACAATTTTTTTTCAATTTTTTTTTCTAGAATTATATTTTTCACATTTTTTCGCTGATGATGATTTCCCATGGGATAAATAATTTTTTTTTCAAAAATATCAATTATATCCACTCATGGATACAAATATCTTCACTCACTCGCTGCGCTTACTCATGAAAATATCAATATCCACTCATGGATATAAATGATATTTTTTAAAAACCATAGGATATTCCTATATTATATCAATCCGGATGCTGAAGTCACTTAATAAATAATAACTAGATGTAACTCCTAGTAAGCACTTCAAGTTTCAGTTCTAAATAAAATACAGTTTAGTTAAAAAATTGTTAAGAATACATACATTTTTTCACAATCACAATTTCCCCATTTCTGACTGTATTTTGCATATTTTTAGATGTCAGTGGTTCAATGATTATTTGATATAACCTCCTGAAACTACTCTTATATATATTTGGTGGTACAGTGATATGGAATCCTGTTTTTTGGGGTCTCACGGAATTCTTGTTTTAGAGAAGAAAATCCTGAAAGCTGCAGTTTAATATTATGAATTATAGGTGAAAATTGCACTTGCTACACTGCTTCTCCCATTTTTAGATGCTAATAAATCTGTAACTACACTTACTATGACCTTAAGTCTACTCATATGTATTATTGGTATTACTAACTAGAGGCAGAATCAGAAATTATGGGTAAATAAAAGTAAAATTTAAGAGATAAATTGTTCTGAATAGTGCATTTTGTCACATTTTTTTCGCGATATCTGACTGCATTTTGTGTCTTTTTAAGAGTCCATGCAGATATGAATACTTGATCTCGAGCTCTGAAATTTTCAATACCAGAATTTGGTAGCACGTCTTGATATCCTGTGTTTGGACTCTAACCAAATCACAGTTGTTGAGAAAAAAATTCATAAGTAGCAGTTTTAATTCAAAATTAGTTGAAACGGCACTCAAGACAGCTTTCCTCATTTTTGAAACCCGATAGATCGGCAAGCATTTACACCATGATCTTCAATCTGGGCATACATATTCTTAATGGCACTATCTCATTGCCCAGATATTGTGGAATCATTGTGACTTATATTCCATGTGATAGTAAGCACTGAAAATGGACTTGTTGCATTGTGGCGGACCCCATACAAAACAAACATAGGGGTAGGGGGGGGGGTTAAACGTTGATCAGTTCTGCTATTTTTTTGTGGCTATTGGTCATATAGTAGATCATTTTGTCAAAAGGTAAGGGTGATCCGAGAAAAAGTTTGTAGATTGAAACAGCCTATTAGATTTCATTATGATACATTGTACAAAATTGAAATTGTATATATAAAATATGTAGAGTCCTATATTTTAATAATAAATGAATTACATTGTCAAGTAACAAGTGAAGTTGTTTTATATGCATTGATTTGCTTTCTATCAATACAAGTTTTTAATTGTATGCTGCAAAATGATAACATTGACCACGCCCACTTTCCAGGGGTAGGGTACTATAAAGTCATATTAAAAATCATAAATAGTACATTATCATTATTATAATTGTATTACAATATCAAACAAAGCTTGAATTAGTTTTTAGAAAACAATTTTGAGCTATCCAAGCTGCCATCTTTTGCTGGAAGCTACAAATATAAGATACGTGAGACTAAAAAATGACTAAAATTGCGTATTTTTTTCCTATTAATTGCAATATTTCTGAGACTAATACAGATATCGGCCTATAACTTTAGGATATTATTCATCTTTGGACTAGTAATGTGTGCTGTAGAAAGCAGAACAATAGCAACTATATCCTTTATGTTATGAAATAGTCTTATAGTACCCCCTGAAATCGCAGGAATTGAAGTCCAATTCGGCCGTGAAAATTGTTTTTACCACTTTAAAGGCCATCACCTTATATTTTCTTACACCTACTAGGTTACTCTAACACACTGCATTGCCAAAAGTTACTTCTTGCAAACTTCCGGCAAAACTGTGCCAGCATCTGATACATAAAGCAATGTATGAATGTGAAAATGTATGAAAAGGGGATGAATTGTGAAACTGATTTTGGTAACAGTTCCACAATTTATCATCCATTTTTCAATCTCTGACAATACCGAATGTGCTATTCTGACATAACAAAACCACATTTGTTGCTCTTACATTGCAATACCACATGATTTTTTCTACATTGTAATATCACAAGAGCTACTCTGACATTGTAATACCACATAAGTTACTCTCACATTGTAATACCACAAGAGCTGCTCTGAGGAAAGTTCAATTGAGTCTCATTAGGTACCAACGAAACATAAAATGACCCATTGAAATTTACTAGTATGTGATTCTGTTGTCCTATTGACGTTTTCAAGACTCACTCAGATTTTGTAGTACTGAAACTCCACTGGAAAATATATACACTTACTAAAGTCCCACAGAAATAAGGAGCATATTCCTTATTTACATGGTCTTACTTTTCAATATACTTCACAAAAGTATTTTACATGTATGGTATGGTACATTGACATAATCATTGACCTTGTTATGTTGCTGATAACTGTAAATTGTATGTACAGGGTGAGCCAAAAAAGGTAACCCTAACAAATATGAACAACTCAGGTTTAGTGTCACATTTGGAACAATTAGGCCTTGTCCAATTGCAACATATTGATCTACCAAGTTTTAATGGTCTATCTCTATTGGTTACGATTTTATAGCCATTTAACAAAACATGCCAAAATATTGGAGTCATGTCTTGAGACCAACTTGAACGTTTTGGGCTTAGTTGTACACAACATGCTCATAAACATATTGTGTTATGGCTCTTATCTTTCTTCTTATCTCTTGTTTCAATGTTTCAAGGGTTGTTAGTGTAGAAAATAGGCCCAAAGATAAAACTCTGGTGTTATTTATGTCCATTCAGTGAGACACATTTCGGCGTTTTGCCCATGTTTTGTAAATAACCATAAAATCGTGACTATTACAGATAGACCAATGACACTTAGTAAAATCTGACACTAACAAACATATATTTATTATGGTCTCAGGTAAAATGAAAGAACATTGACCAAGGTTTTAACCCATTTTATTCTGATTTACTTTTCACCATCAAGTGTACGCAACCAGTTGGGACATTTGTAAGTATAACTCACTCAATGAGTTAAATTAATTTGATATATATTCATTTCAAAACGCTAGCCTGTTATGCATATTGCGCAAAGCATTGACCTATGTAACTTTTAACTGCAATATAATTGAATTAATGTATAATGAACTGAAATTGAACAAGGTTTAATTGTGCAAAATATGATTTTAAACCCATGCTGAATGACTGAGTTATTAGCATAAATTTTTTCGGTTACCTTTATTGGCTCACCCTGTATCTTCACCTCTTACACTGTTTTTATAATTGTGTATAGTTTCAATTTATATTCTTAACATTTATAGAAATGAATCACAAACACCCTTTTAATTTGTAATTTTGTATTTTGATTAGAAAATAAAAATAAAGCTTATAAAATGGGATTAGTACAAAACATGGCACCGAGCCATGGCATTCTCTATGGCACCCCTGTGTCATTGGCTCTTAAATGCTAATTCAGATTTATTTAGATTATTTTTGTTCTTGATCCTCTTAAGTTTTGTTTTTGGCACAGAGAGAATGGATCCTTGCGTACGTACTACATACATTTGTAACTTGATTCAGATTGACAAATGTTCATTCATGGCAAACTATGCCAAGAAAGATAATATAACTTTAGTAAGAGGCTCAAGAACAATGATTGGAAGGGTAGACATTTGTAAGGGCAATCATAATCTACATAAATATGCATGAATTTTACTCGAAATAGTGTTTTAGAGCCTACAGTATGGCATTGGGGGTGTTGTAGCCTATGCCATGATTTGTACTAACCCATTTTGAATTGAATTGATAATTAGCAATTCTACCTCACCATATTTATATAATTATATGGAATAAGACTGGAGTAATAAAAAACTCGCTATATCCCAACCAAATGAAAGTGTAATGAAGTTTGCCAGATTCTTGAATTTATACCCCCCTCTTTTGGGATTGGGTTACATAAAGGATAAAATGTCAAGGCAATGTGAAGTGCTGGAGAATAAAAAAATACATTCAAACATCCGCCATTACTCAAATTACTATGAGCATGACTTTTATCAGCATGTATCCTTCAGAGATTTTCTTATACCTTCTATATAAATGCTCTTGGATATAATACTACTCAAGTGTTTGCAAGTCACAATGCCATATAATCCTGTACGAATAAACTGCATTCAGTACCTGACACTATGAGTACAAAACATAAGTTCCAAATATAATACCAGATATTATGACACCGTGTTGCCATCTATTTGTGTTGAATATATTATAAACATCACATAGCATAAAAAACTAGGAATTCAATCCAATTTTCCTATATATGAGATTACTTATGATTTATGTTGCAATCTAATTTTGCACAGAAAGTTTGAAAATCACGGTCTTCTTTTTATCACACCATCGGTGGGATATAGTCGTCATACTGGTCGTGGTCGTGATCGTGGTCGTGGTCGTGATCGTGATCGTCCCGCTTTTTGTCATCGCCGTTTAAGGAAAACTGCTCATCAGATTTTCTCCAAATTCGGAGAGATGATAGAGCGTATGAAGTACTAGAGCTGATTAACTTTTGGGTGGCCATCTTGTTTTCTGGCGGCCATTTTGAAGGTTTTTCGAAAAATCTTGTCATCGCCATTTCAGGAAAACCGCTCATTGGATTTCCTTCAAATTTACACAAATGATAGAGGATATCAAGTACTAGAGCTGATTAACTTTTGGGCGGCCATCTTGTTTTCTGGTGGCCATTTTGAAGGTTTTTTGAAAAATCTTGTCATCGCCGTTTCAGGAAAACCGCTCATCGGATTTCCTTCAAATTTACACACATGATAGAGGATATCAAGTACTAGAGCTGATTAACTTTGTGGCAGCCATCTTGTTTTCTGGTGGCCATTTGAAGTTTTTTCGAAAAAATCTTGTCATCGCCAATTTAGGAAAACCGCTCATCGGATTTCCTTCAAATTCGCACAGATGATAGAGGATATCAAGTACTAGAGCTGATTAACTTTTGGGCGGCCATCTTGTTTTCTGGTGGCCATTTTTAAGGTTTTTCGAAAAATCTTGTCATTGCCATTTCAGGAAAACTGCTCATCGGATTTCCTGTACATGATAGGGGATATCAAGTTCTAGAACTTATTAAATTTTGTTTTCTGGCGGCCATTTTGAAGGTGTTTCGATAAATCTTCTCCTCGAAAACAATCCACTTTGTCATATTGCCTTAAATTTTAGCTCAAGATGTGAGCTATTGATTAATATGACCACAGCCAACTTTTTTTTTTTCTTGTTCTTGAAATTTGTAAACATAATAGGAGAACAGTTTTCCTGGTTCATAGTGTCTGCCTATTTGATGGTGTGATCTCGTTCACGTCCTGTGCCTTGTTCAATATAAGGTCAACATTATTGAAAAAGTGAGGAGGTGGGTTACTAATCCATGGCTTATCTCAACATTAAAATGAGATTTTATTTTTTTCATGCACTTTTGTTGAAGTCAAGATATTGTTTTAATATAAAATATTCATTGTATGGTCGGGAAATACCTGTGACCAAAAATACAGCTGTCCAAAATCTCTTGCCATGTTGGGTCTACTCCTTTGTAAAATCAGACCCACGATTTTTCAGAGGTTCTACATTTTGCATCATATTATGAAACTATAAATCTCGGTTTGAAACGAAAATAATGTTCAAATGCTAAATAGACCGTGCATTAGGATTTTTCCTGATAATTTAGCGGTTGATGAATGTGCTGATTCGATGCTGAACGACTGTAGTCCGTTGGCTACATGCACAGATACACCAGGGGGATACATATGTACTTGTAAAGTGGGCTTCGATGGAGATGGACTTACATGTGTTAATATAGATGAATGTCAAACCGGAACTGATACATGCCCTTCATTAAGTGTATGCATTGATACTCCCGGTAGCTTCGTATGTGACTGTATCGATGGATTCACATTGCAAGACAACATTTGTGAAGGTACAATACGAATTACATAATAGAGATTATCCTATATGAGGTTCAGGATATTGGGATTATTCCGAGACTAATATAATATATAATATGTCCGAGGGCTGTATGCACCGAGGGTAGATATATTATATTGGCCAAGGGATAATCCCTATATCCTGAACCGACTATAGGATGATCTGTTTATCCCATACCAATCTTGGTCATTTGGTTCACATTTTTCAATCGGCCACAATTCAAAAACTTTGCAACCAACCGTGGAATAATTTTAGAATATTACTGTCCAGTTTTGTATTCTTGACCGTAGCGGGATTTTCCTGTTCTTTCTGATATTCATCCGTATTTATTTTCTCGAATTTTAATTATTAACAGGGCGTTCTGCTCCTTCCCTTCTTTAAAGCAAACAGATCGCGATTGTGAACGCTATTTAAAGAATGAATCAATGTGCGAACGGCGATTATGACGCAGCGGGCAGATATATTAGCTATAACGAATATCCTTTCAATAAAGTTAGAAGTGGCGTATACTATATATACGTGTAGAACATGGTCGTATGTAAACTTATGTATTTCCAGACATCAATGAGTGTCTCACAACATTACCCTGTGATGAAAACACCCAGTGTACCAACACAATAGGCAGCTATGAGTGCTCACCATGTAACACAGGATTCCAACTGCAAGGAGACACATGCATAGATATCAACGAGTGCTTAACAAACAATGGAGGTTGTAACGCAACCACCAGTACTTGTGTTAATAACGAGGGCTCGTTTCAGTGTGTGTGCGGCTCTGGTTTCACAGGGTCGGGAACCCCTAACGAGTGTGTGGACATCAACGAGTGCACAGAACCAGGGCTTGGTTTATGCACAGCTGTTAACTCAACATGTATTAACACATTTGGGTCATTTGATTGTGATTGCCCACCGGTAAACTGTACAGGTAAGTTAATGGAGAGTTTAACACGGGGGGAAAGTCTACCCGCCTATATACAACCTACCACCGAGCAAAGACCCGAAGATGTAGCCGATATAGTTGTTGTTCCAGGCACTCTTGTTTGCAAAATAATGAGTACTTAATGCAATATTTACTATTAAATCGCTAAATTCAACTTCTAAATAATTGAATGATGTTTTACATCTTAAATAAGTAAGATCCATGGCTGTCTTTACTCCATTTGATTCAAAGATACAACAGGTGCAAATACATCACATTTGTTTCGCTGTCATACGTTGCATGTCATTGAAATCACCGGTGAAAGTTGAAAATGAAAGGCCCGATTATACAACGAGTACGACTCTATAGGACCTGATGCTACCGCCTGAGTATTCCGATTATATTTCGTGAGTAGAGCCCGATGAGGTAGTGAGTAGGCTTTTGGATGATCATATAATAACATGACATAATTTAGCATATATTCCTGACGTAGGGATATAAAATAATATGATATAATTCCCGCAGCACTATACGTCAACGACTGTGTGCCACAAAGTTCTTTAAAACAGTTCTATCTGACAATACTCATAATTCAATGATTTTGGTACGAACTTTGGTCCTTCGACCTCGTCGCCATGTTTTATTCAAAATCTGAATTAATTACTCAAACTGAATAGATACAAAGTGATTTTATAAAAACATTTAAATCAATGGTTCGATACCACTCTTAACGGAACGGAATATAAAAATTCGTTTACTTAGAATATTATATGTGTTATTTTTATCTACCAAGACGGTAAACATATGAAAAATAGTTATATATTTTGATTGATCTAAAATGAGCAAAGTTAAAAGACCCGTTATACTCATTCGCTCTCAATTTTGACTGAGATAAGATATCAGTACAACAGCTATAGCTACTAAAATGAAGACAGATTGACCAGTAGAGATTGGGAACGTGAAACATATTCATTTTTAACAATGAATATGGATAATAATTGATTTAAATGCAAATCCGCGCTATTCCTATCCTCAAAGATATCAGTACAACGGCTACTAAAATGAAGAAAGATTGACCAGTAGATATTAGGAACGTGAAACATATTTATGTTTAACAATGAATATGGATAATAATTGATTTAAATGCAATTCCGCGCTATTCCTATCCTCAAAGATATCAGTACAACGGCTACTAAAATGAAGAAAGATTGACCAGTAGAGATTAGGATCGTGGAACATATTCATGTCCCACTACAACGAAGTTTCGCCAAATATCGCCATTTCTAAATTTTTAAATGCCATTTTTATGACTTAGCAAGTTTTGATATGAAGAGTTATCAAATAAAATATACAAGTATTCAGGGCGGATCCGGGGGGACCCATGGGGTTGTAATATTGATCTGTAAATGAGAGGTTGAGTGGGTGACTTATCCATAGGATGCATGAACAAGTATTAGTCCAAACATTTTGTCTTATTTATGAATAGGACATTTCCAAGACCATGCTTTGTATAGTTTGTAGGTAAATCAAGATATCAATTTTCCATTATACTCAAGGGGCGAGGAGGAAAATTCTCAATAAATGGTGTATAGTTGGTTTGGCAGCATTTTCAGTTAGGGGAGAGTCTTGGATGAAATTTCCACCTAGGTGATAGCTTCGCAGAGTGGTAGGAAGTTCTTTTTTTTGAGGAGTTAGCCCCCCACCCCCCCAAAAACACCCCACCCTGGGGAAAAAATTGTTCACACTAAATAACCTTAGATATTTTGATGTTTGTAAGTGACATACATAGATATTATATATATGAATAATTTGCAGTATTATTGATGCTGATTACTTCTAAAGAATTTGAATATCAGTACAAAGTGTGTACCCCAGGGGGCAAATTCGTGACTCATTTTCTTACTGTTTTGATTCTAACTTTTCAATTAGACACTGTAAGAGGTTGAAAAAATTCATGTGATGTGCCCAATAGCAGGGTTAGTAACCCTGAAAGATGCAGAGCCATTGAAGAAGTAGGAGCTGAGAAAAAAATTGTTGATTTTTCGAAAAATTTGACATTTTTGACGACTGGATTTTGTGTATGACTATAGCGGACCCCTATAGTTTCTAGATCCATCGCTCTATGATGATATTTATGGTTTTATACTGTGGAACTAAGATGTAAAACATAATTTAGATGGGTTTTAAGGAAGTTAAAGGTTTTAAACAAGTCCAAAATTTGAAAATTGTAAATATAAGGTTTCAAATTTACGAATTCCAGGTATAGCCATGGCTGACCCCTATAGTTTCTAGATCCATCCATCTTTGATGATATTTATGCTTTCATAGTGTTAAACTAAGACGTAAAACATAAATTAGATGGGTTTTAAGGAAGTTATAGGTTTTAAACAAGTCCAAAATTCGAAAAATTGTAAATGTAAGGTTTCAAATTTACGAATTCCAGCTATAGCCATGGCTGACCCCTATAGTTTCTAGATCCATCCCTCTTTGATGATATCTACGGTTTTGTAGTATGGAACTAAAGATGTAAAACATAATTTAGATGGGTTTTAAGGAAGTTAATGATTTAAAACAAGTCCAAAATTTGAAAAATTGTAAATATAAGGTTTCAAATTTATGAATTTTAGGTATAGCCATGGATGACCCTTATGGCTTTTTCATCAATACTTCTATGATGAAACATATACTTTTAGAGTGTGAACCTAAGATGTAAAACATACCGAAGATGAATTTTAAGGAAGTTTAAGAATTTTAACAAGTGCAATATTTGAAAAATTGAGAAATATCAGGTCTCAAAGGAGCACGGAAAGTATCGCAACAGATTTCAGACAGTCATATGTTGGATTTTGTCTGTTTTCTGAGGATTTAAGCAGGTGCATATGATAGGCCATTGCATTACCTACGGGAAAAGAACTCTTAGAGATGATAAAATAGTTTGGAATTTGAGACAGCGAAGGTGAAAACAATCCACCCACATGTTTTTTGGGACATGTCGTCCTGATTTTCAACCCCGTTCACCCCTGGTTTTTCAATTTTTGTTGCATCAATATGAGACATCAATTTGAGACATAGTTAACCATTAAAAGGATAAATTTCTTTTAGATAAAGTGGAAAACAATATTTTCCTGTTATTTTCCCATAGGGAAAACTCATGTGATCCATTGCTTTCAGCTTAATTTTGGTCACCCATATTTGATATCTTTAAAATTCCTGATGGAATATATTTTTCATTTAAAGGGGTTAACTGTATGTAAAACACATATATTTATACATATACACATATATATTTATGCATGTGGATGGGTTGTTTGCACCTTCCCTGTCTCAAAATAGAAATTATTTTATCATCCCTATGGGTGCTTTTCCTGGAGGAAATGCATTGGCCTAACATGCAACATGAAATATGCACATCCTCAAATCCTCAGAAAATAGCCAAAATCCAACATATGATTGCTGAAATCTGTTGCGATACTTTCAGTCCTCCTTTACGATTTCAGGTATAGCCCTGGATGTCCCTCTTTTTGAATGTATGACTTAGCTTAGAAATTAGATGTTGAAAATATTGTGGTCAGGTTTGATCCATGTTACATGTATTGTTAAAAGAAAAATCATTAGAGTTGAGGACTTAACCCTTGAGTTCCTAAGGGGGTGAGAGGTTAATAAATCCCCCAGTAAGTGTAACTGCTCCTAGGGATATCGTATACAGTGTAGTAATTGATTGATTAAATGGATTATAACTAATTAATTATTATTTGATGATATTTATTATGTGATATAGCATTTTTACTTTTTCACATCAACATGTTCGATGTAATGTTCTGCATTATCAAAATACATAAAGACATGGTTAATTAAAAGAAACATGTTTTCTCTATATTTTGTTATGCCCCTTCTGTAATTAAGCAATGATCATCTCCTAATACAAAATGTTGTTATGAATTATCAAATTATAATCACTACACTCCCAATAAAACAATTTGTCATCAGGCAACGGTAATTATTTGGGAAAATAAGGATTATAAGGATCATACCCCCCCCCCGGGCCTAGAAACTCCCGTTAGTGCAATGTAAGGAACTCTAGGGTAAAAGGGTCTTGTCACATTAGAATCTTCATGTAGATCAAAAAAGTATATATGGTGTTATGATCAATATGTTTCAAACAAACAGACATTGAAGAAAATGTTTACATACTGACTTTGCAGATGACATTTTCTAGCATAGTTGAAGAATTTTTTTCATTTATTGAAATGATAGTCATAAAATTATAATATCAGTGTCATTTGATGCAAATTACTGCAGTCCCACATGTTCTGCTGAATGTAAAACAGAGTGAATAATTTTAAAATCAGCCTCTTCAGGAGTGGAATTTAACAGGAGATTTCAGTTATCATTTTCACAGATATTTGAGTTCTCTCCAATAGTTTCACTTAAAACAATCTTGACATTTGGCACACTTTTAGAATGCTGCTTTATTGAATTTCTTTTTGAATTTCTTTGTAATCTTTGAAAATTTGTCTTATATTACTTGGACAAAGGTATTCATATTTTAGGTAATGGTGTAATTTCTTCTATGGATTAAAGTTCAATAGGGGAAGCATCCATTCTTTGCATTCTTTCAGAATCCTTTACTGATGGAGACAACTAGCTAGGAGTCTAATGTGAAATCTATTCTTTGGGCTCCTTTAATAGATTTGATGGAGTAATCAAATATAGCTTTCCAAAACTCTCCAAATTTCAACATATAAGTTAATCTTCATTTTCCCTTTGTCATAGCCATTGCATCAATCATGAAAGTTTTATCAATTTGTGGTATGGTTTCATCGATCTCCATTTCAAACCCCTTTTTAAGTTCTGATTTTACAGGATAAGATAGATGATCATTGTCAAACGAACTGTTTGTATCCAATTAAAAGATCATAGTTTACTCACACATTTCTAGGCAAGGTGTGTCCAATTCCAGCCAATTCAATATTCCATATAACTGCATTCCAATTTACTACTCTCATAAACCCAAGGTCAATTTAAGATTCTAGAGAAACTAATGAAACTAATGATCATAGGGAATAGCATGCCAAGTGCTTGTATTTGAATTTATGTGGATTACTCATTTGGTAGACACCTTTATCAAATGTTAAAGTGTTGTTGATTTTCAAGTTGTACAAGCACAGTGTCATGGGTGCTTTCTTTTCCTGACATAGTATAACATTGTGGTAAAAATTATCAAAGGCACCTAGTACAGTAGTTCTAGTTCATCATCTTGTATAAATGATATATCAGCAGTGAAACCTGTATATCCCAACATCTGACTATTGTGAACACCTACCAATCATCCCAACACCTGACTTATCTGAAAACCAACCAATCTGAACACTTTTCCCCAGTTCAATTTTTCCTTCCTCCCATTGACTCCTATGTTTAAAAATTGAAATCTGAACACCTCTTAATTCGAACAGTGAACACTCATATTTGAAAAATCAACCTGTTTAACTTGAACTTTTTTTTTACCAAATATCACATATTTCTTACAAAATTGCTCAAATATTGTCAGTTTAACACTGAATTGTAATATCAAAACTTTTGAATTGGATTTTTGAATGCTATTAAGCTTTTTGGGTGGTCAGTATAAATATTATTAATATTTATTAATATTTTTCATTGAGAATGCATTCATATTTCTTCAAAATCCAGAATATTGCAGATGTAAAAACCTCAAAATTCAAACACTTCTAATTTGAACGCTTTTAGCTGCTCCAAATACTATATCTAGTAGCATTCAGATTAGAAAGATTTTACTGTAGTTCATGACTTTTCACTCCATTTATATGCAGCAGACTAACTGCTGCAACGGGTATATATTCTACACCTGGTCTCTAAGCTATGATATCACAGTTGTTACTATTATGCTCATAACCTTCGATTATCAGGGCTCATTCAAGGCTGTACCTGAATAACGTGAATTTGAGACCAATTTTCGAGATCAATTTTTCAAATTTTGCACTTGTTTAAAACCTTGAACTTCCTTCAAACTCATCTTATGCATCTTTAACATTTTAATTAAATACTCTAAAAATATATATCTCATCACTGAGGTATAGATGTAAAAAAAAACATAAGGGTCACCTTCGGCTATACCTGAAATTCATAAATTTGAAAACTTACATTTACAATTCTTGACTTGTTTAAAACCTTAAACTTTCTTAAAATTCATTTTGGGTATGTTAGATCTTAGTCCTACACTCTAAAACTGTATATTTAATCATAGAGGTACGGATGTAAAAACCATAAGGGTCAGCCATGGCTATACCTGAAATTCGTAAATTTGAAACCTTATATTTACAATTTTTCAAATTTTGAACTTGTTTAAAACCTTAAACTTCCTTAAAACCCATCTAAATTGTGTTTTACATATTAGTTCCATACAGCAATACCATAAGTATCACCATAGAGGGATGGATCTAGAAACTATAGGGGTCTGCCATGGCTCTACCTGGAATTCGTAAATTTGAAACCTTATATTTACAATTTTACAAATTTTGGACTTGTTTAAAACCTTAAACTTCCTTAAAACCCATCTTAATTATGTTTTACATCTTAGTTCCACACTATAAAACCATATATATCATCATAGAGGGATGGATCCAGGAACTATAGGGGTCAGCTATAGCCATACACAAAATCCAGTTGTCAAAAATGTCAAATTTTTCGAAAAATCAACAATTTTTTTCTCAGCTCCTACTTCTTCCATGGCTTTGCATCTTTCAGGGTTACTAATCCTGCTATTGGGCACTTCACATGAATTTTTTCAACCTCTTACAGTGTCTAGTTGAAAAGTTAGGATCAAAATAGTAAGGAAATGGGTCACGAATTTGCCCCCTAGGGTACACACTTTGTACTAATATTCATTTTTTTTAGGAGTAATCAGCATCAATTATACTGCAAATGATTCATATATATAATATCTATGTATGTCACTTACAAACATCAAAATATCTAAGGTTATTTAGTGTGAACAATTTTTTTCCCCGGGGTGGGGTGTTTTTGTGGGGTAGGGGGCTAACTCTTCAAAAAAAAGAACTTCCTACCACTCTGCGAAGCTATCACCTAGGTGGAAATTTCATCCAAGACTCTCCCCTAACTGAAAATACTGCCAAACCAACTATACACCATTTATTGAGAATTTTCCTCCTCGCCCCTTGAGTATTAAACACGAACAGAAGATCATGAAACTTAATACCCTTTGCATTCGTTTGACTTCACTTCTTAAAAGAGAGCTTCGTCTTCTACCCTTTGCATTCGTTTGACTTCACTTCTTAAAAGAGAGCTTCGTCTTCAGTAGTTTAACTAGACTCTGCACGCAGGGTAGAAACTTAACAAATAAAAGGTAAAATTGATCATCAAAATAAAAATTTCCCTTTTATAAATGCATGGCGATCTATACGACACTACTGCTACATAAACAAACAGAGCTGTTTACACACTGACTTCAACCTGCACACCCTTGAGTATCTTTCCGCGATCGAGCTTTTTATACTAAACGGTGAGCAACACCAAAAACGAGCGATCGATTTGCTAAACGATATGCGTTACCCTTTAAGAAAGCAGAACCAAATATAGGACTGAAGTTTTATTTCATTGTGTATTTGTAATGGCAGGAACGTGAGAGAGTTCTTATCTTCTCTCAGTTTTTCTATTTTATGGCGATTTGGTAAATATTTTCTAAAATGAGGATTTATTTTCAGATGTAAATGAATGCTCAACTGAAAATGATGCATGTAGTGAGTTTGCTGATTGTACCAACACTATTGGTGCATACACGTGTACGTGCAGGACTGGCTACGTTGGAAATGGTTTCACGTGCATTTATGTTGATGAATGTCTGGCGGACCCATACCCATGTGATCCCAATGCCCAGTGTGGGGATGATCCAGGGCCAGGAACGTTTCAATGCACATGTTACCCAGGCTTTTATGGTGTATTTGGATTTTGTTGTACTGGTAATCAAACCATATTTTACTGAGCAGATAATGACTGTGTACCAACTTAAAACTAAAATGTTTCACAAAAAATGTTTTCACCTACTTGAACCAATTGTACATATTTATTACAGATATAGATGAGTGTTTGCGCGAGACTGACAACTGTGCAGAAGTTTCAACATGCAATAACACAATTGGCTCATTCACATGCACATGCCCGAATGGATATCAAGGAGACGGAACAACGTGTACCGATGTAAATGAATGTGACCCATTGGTTCCCTCAATATGTGACTCCAATGCACAGTGTATAAATACACCAGGCGCATATATATGCCAATGTCCTCCTGGATTCACAGGAGATGGGGTAACATGCACAGATATTGATGAATGTTCACAACCCATATGTGCACAAAATTCCACGTGTATCAATTTACCTGGACAGTACGGGTGTATATGTGACACGGGACTCACATGTATTGGTAATAACACAATATATTGGTAGTCATTAACCATTTACAATAATTTCAAATCGTAGACTGACGAATATACCTCGCACGATAATGAAGTCAAAATACCAAATCAAGAAAATGAAAGATGAAAGTAACAAGCGGAACTAATGTCAAAAACGACCATTACTGTTTGTGAGTTATCCCAAAATGGAATTATTTTTGGACAACCATTATAAAATAAACAAGTAACGGAATTTCGAGAACAGTATGGTCAGACTCTAAACGAAAAACGTACGCAGTTAAATAGTGTTAATGCTATTTCAGACGTCGATGAGTGTGACTTGGACCTTGATAACTGTGACACTAATGCCATCTGTACAAACGTTGAGTACGGAGATTTCATATGTGAATGTGCCACTGGTTATTATGGAGATGGTGTCACATGTCAAAATATCAACGAGTGTAATGTCCCAGGTAGCTGCCCCCAAGGAAACATATGTACAGACACACCTGGTGGTTTTACATGTACATGTGCTAGTGGCTATACACAACAATTTGAGGGTTGTGTAGGTAAGCCATAGCCACATATACTATATCTAGTATTGAGGATAGCCACATGCGACCGACCAGTGACCATACATAGATATACAGTGCGTCGCAAAAAACGCAACAAGCAAAAACATTATAAAACCACAAAACCAGTGATGATTACATCAATTTCATTTATTTTACAATGAAGCCAAGCGTCTCCTCTTTCCAATGGTATGTCATTTATTCATATATGCATGACCACCATTCAAGAACAATTATCACAATCCAAGACCAGAAGACCAAGGGACATTTCATTCATACTGAAGTCATTACAATACAAGCTAGAAAATATAGCCTAGTGTCAATAAGTTTCTTCAATTTGAAAGTCCGCTATGTTACCAAATTGAATGTATGTTACATTGACGACTTACGTCAATGTAAAAGAAGCGATGGTCTAAATGCATGAATTATAGCTTTATTTAAAATTCCAAACCGATGGCATTTCTAAAAGCTAGACTGTATCGTCTAACTTTGTGCCAAATGATAATCCGCCACATGACTTATACGTAAGTTAAAAAAAACTCGTATCCGGGAAGTTCATTCATTTTGTTACATTGACGTTCAGTCAAAATAACTAGTTGTGGAACAGTGATAATAGGATCAGTTGACTGAGGATATTTCAAAACTTGCCCCAAAGGCCTTTTCACTCATGCGCGAAAAACAATGATTATTCAGTGGTCCATTATCAGATATGAACAAATGACATACCATTGGAAAGAGGAGACACACAGCTTCATGGTTAATCAAATGCAATCGATGCAATCATCACTGGTTTTGTGGTTTTACAATGTTTTTGCTTGTTGCATTTTTTGGGACGCATTGTATTGGAAATATATTACACATGGTAGTGAATTGCATCATGTATCAATGATTTTCCAGACGTGGATGAATGTAGCTACTTCACTTTAAATGACTGCACTGGTGAGAATGGTAGCTGTGTTAACACCTTGGGTAGCTATGACTGTATGTGCAATACAGGGTTCACAGGAAATGGTATCATATGCGAGGACGTTAATGAGTGCGAGATTGCCTCAATTGATTGTGGATCAAATGCAGAGTGTTTGAATACTCTTGGGTCGTTTGAGTGTATTTGTTTATCTGGATATGAACTAGTAGGAGAAGTAAGTCAGAATTGAATGTGATGGAATACCATCTCTTATATTTGAATATCGAGATCTTTCTCTCTTATAGTTGCCACACTCATTTTGATTTGGTGGCTTCTGTGAAGTTATGTCCTTGCCCATGTGATCCCACAATCGTCACGTGCACACAATACCCAATCAGAATCAAAAATACCACGCCACCATCATACGTTACCCTTCTATCTGTTCCTTTCTTGGAATATATTCCTTAGTTGAAACTAGAAAGATGTCAGGATGAGTATCAGAATGCGCTAGGAGCATACCTTTTATATTTCCCACCTATTAGACATTTTCTGCGTGACAATTCTCAGTAATTCTATTTACTTACCCCTTACTTCACCTGATAACCTCATCTTTTGAGGACTTTCATTTACTGTTACAGATATGTGTAGACATCGATGAGTGTTTGACAAACACAGATTTGTGTCAGATCAACTCAACTTGCATCAACGATGTCGGATCTTATAGCTGCAACTGCACAATACCTGACTGTATAAGTAAGTAAAGTATCAAATTGTGATTTACTGCACAATGTCGTCCATTCCTTTGCAGACACACATGGATTCTACATTAAAAATGCCACCCAGCTTTTGTAACCTAACTTTGTAAATACTAATGATTTTGGCTTGTACTTTCGGGGAAATAAAGTCCAAACAATTCAACACAAAATGATGTAGTTGTTATTGATAAAATCATAATAACTGTTTGTGGAGTTGCAAAATGGATTGTTATTTTAATATGTGAAAACACAAGTCAGACTATCTTCAGACAAAAAGGTTATGAAACATTATATGGTTGGGTGTTATTTTTTGTGTCACGCGGTATTTAGCATGCGCACTAGTGTATGTCAATTCCCCATGTCGCCACTTTTTCATCAGTTTTTTTATTTATAACCGAAATTCTTCATATTGTACTAATATTAGATGTGGATGAATGTGACGGAGGTAATAGTTGTTCTGAGCTAGCAACGTGTGAAGATGAAGTGGGATCCTACTCATGTACTTGTCAGCCGGGATACACAGGTGAATGCCCTTTGCATTCGTTCAACTTCACTTCTTAAAAGAGAGCTTCGTCTTCGTCATTAATAAATATCCACACATAGCTAGACAAGCTGTGTCCGATTCTAGCCAATCCGAAAACGCTATTTCATATAGTTTTGCAATGTGTGAAAAGAATTTAAGCCCAAGACTCCA